TATTACCATCATGCATTAGCTTTATTGGAATTTCCTGGTAAATTATATATGCTAAAATTAATCAGTCCTTGAAGTACCATACGTGTAAGCCAAATAGCAGGCATATATCTGAAAGAGGTATGTGTGTATGAGAGAGAGAAGGAGAGAGAAAATGTTCAAGCATCAAAAGTTTATCGTATTATGGTCATCTTCTATAGCCAACATTTTCATGATCTTCTTATATCCCTGGAAAAACGTAGATGTACAAGGCTCTACTTTACATTCAGACTATTTTTGCAAAGGCATATTACAGTTGTTCTGACAAAACAGCTTCAAACACTTGCCAAGGAGAATAAATTACAGTAGGAATGGGTGGTAATTATTAGGAACTTATTTTTGGAATAAGAAACCTTCCTTAATAAAGGGTTACGTACTGCCCTCTGAAAGAAAGAGAGAATTTTCCCCAAAGTCAAAAAGACACTTTTAACACTTCATGTGCATATCCTGTGGGGGTTAAATTAGGTTAGCATGTGTTCCCAAAAAGGCAAATTCAAGCTGGGTTCAATCCATGGATTACAGAGAACACTTAGAAAGCAAATTGAAATTCTTTAGACACAGTAATTCAAAGTTTCTGGTTTTTTCTCTTTTTGAAGCAGAGTTTAGCTTAATGGCTTAAAGGATTCAGATATGTCCTCAAGGCATTCAGATATTTTTAAAGACCTAATTGAAATAGTTGATTAGACAAAAAATTTACCAAACAGGTAAGCATCCTTCAATAATGTATTCTACAGAGCCCTTAGGAGACTAGTAAGTGTAAAATTGGAATAAAATTATATATTTTGCGCTCCCATTTTTTTGTGACTTTGTTTTCTAAAGAAGTTCAAATTAAGTACGAGAATGCCTTGTGACCCTAAGTATAATGAATTCAGTGTTTAGTTACAATTTTAAGACGTTTTCACAGAGTTGATATAAAGGAAAATTTAGAGTGTATTAATTTCAAAAGAACTGAATACAAAGAAACCCAATATAAGAGCCTAAAATCAGTCAAAGAAGTACCCAAGCACAGAGATAAACATTTTTGGCTTGCTTTTATTTTTCTTGAATACTAATACAGAAATGGATTCTGTGTTTATCCCATAGCAGGCATAGATTATTTAAAAATTGTTAGCTTTTAAAAATACAAGTGAACAGAAAGCAAAACACAAATTGACACCATTGAGCAAAAATCTAACATTGCTTTTTTGTGTAAGAATGCTCACCTACTGGCATCATTTCATGATCACAGGTTACTCAAGATGCCCTTATGATGTTTGTTAAATTAAATTGAATATAGCATTTCTACATTACTTGTTCTTGTAAGGTTACTATGCCCATATCTCACTAAAGAGCCAGTAATGGGAAAGAATAGGGAAATGGACCTAGGATTTAATTTTGTTTCTCCATATATAACCCACTACAGCCAAGTTGGATTAAGGCTATGTTTATTTAAAGCTCAGTCAAATTGGTCCTTTTCATAAACTCATTGGTAAAAATGAATTTCTCTTGGTGTTTCCATGGGTCATGCACCGAGCAATAACACCAACAGTAGTTACTGATCCCCTGGGAATAGCAACTTAATTACACAGAAGTTTGAAATCAAGGATAGTGGTATAAATGCAAACATAGAGACATGTCCTGTCTTTGGGTGGTTTATTATTAAATTTAATACCTCAGATACTCTTTTCTGTTTCTGCAGATCTTAATTACTAAGTAGATATGGTAAAATATGAATTATTGTATTATCACAAGTGATCAAATATATATGGTTATGAGCATGGCAGTCTGCAGGTGTAACGTACATAAAGCAAGATTGATAGTATCAAGCAGTTAAACTGAAGTTATCTTTAAGGGGAAAAGGTTTAATGCTACCCTTAAGTGTAACTTAAACTCTCACTAAATATTTTTAACTGCAATAAAAGCATGTTAATTGTAGGAATGACTTCTTTACAAGACCTCGTTTCTTAGAGTAAGTTTTTCTTTCCAAGAATATAAAAGCTTACTGAAATAATTTCTATTACTAACTCATTCTGTAAAGAGCTTTTTCCTTGGCTTTTAAGCTCAATGAAGAAAGCCCAAAATAGCACAGGAAATTTGTGTGTTGTGAATATATATATATAAAATATAAGAACTAAATCCAACTGGGATAAAATGATTAAATTATTGATAAGGTCATTGTTGGTCCCAAAGCATTCCATTAGTTATATGCTTCTTCTTAAATATTTTGAGAATTTGGCCTTAATTTTCTTATAATTACATATAAAATAGTAGAGACAGCATTTTACTTTAATATCCTCTCATGTACAACTTATTACAGTCTTTATATAAGAGAAATATGCTAGGCATCTAATGATACATTTTTTTCTTATGTGTTTTTGGTATTTTTTCTACCTCCTGGATTATTTTTGTGCCACCACTTACAAGATCAATGCCTGTACTTCCAAATTAGCTATCCCATTGCTTCTCAGTAAAGGTGGCTTTACAGTGGGGTTAACGAGACTTCTGTAAATACATAAAGCGCTTAGCAAAGTGTATAGAGGTCTTTACAAAGAACTTTCTGGATCTCTTTCTCTCTTTCTTTGTTTCTGTCTTTCACATGCACTCACACACACAGAATTTGGTCCTTGCCGTGGAGTTTTACAGCAGTGTACTTGGCAAGGTACTTAAAGAGTGAAGCAATATGAAAGATTTATAAAGCAGCACATTGTAGATAACACATTAAATATAAAAGTACTAAAGACATGCATTGTGTGTAGTTTTGGAGATATTAAATATGTGAACAATTTGACACAGAAAATAAAGATGTATTTTATTCAGTGTAGATTACTAGATGTTTGCAGTTAACCTTCCTGACTGCTGCAGTGAAGATCGCTGCATGTGTGTATCTTCAGAGTCAAAAAGGATGCCAGACAAGTTGACGAATAACTGACAGTTTGTTGTAGAAATAATGGGTGTAGAAATAATGGGTATAGAAATTATTTCTAGGAAATGGGCTACTTTGTTTTTTGTTGTTGTTGTTGTTCTTAAAGCACTATCTGTGATAAAATCTAAGATGTGATTGCTGATAAGAAAATGGCAAGAATTTGAGCTGTAAGGAAAGAGGGAGAAGATTGTATTCTTAACTGTAGTTGTGTATTAACCTTCATCTAGTTTCCTCATTGATGGATTTTTCTTCCAGTTGTGTCAGCTGAATAATTGTAACCATGTTCTACATGTTTTAGTCGTTTAAGAATGCAAACATTTGTATCGGTTAAAAATCCTTTGAACAGGGGCCCAAAATGGTTTAGTTCATGTATTTTTTTGCTGTGCCCATCTCTGGTTCCCCTGATACTCTTTGCAATATCAGTTAATTCTTTGTAATTAAGAACAGCGGCCTATTTAATTTAGAGATGTTTTTGTACTTCTTGGAATAGTAAATATTAGCATTTGTAATTTGAAAGAATTAGAAGTGTGTGGAGAAGTATTTTTTTCGTAAGCCATGTAAACACAGCCATCTTAGACAAAAAAAAAATTGTGTTAACCACCCCTCATTTAATTAATAGCAGCAGAGTAAAAATTGAAAATTATAAAAGATAAAAATTATGAAAGACACTGTAACATTTTTAAAATTTGAACATTTAAAACATTTAAAATATTTTAAAATGGAAAATTATAAAAGATACTGTAACATTTTTAAAAAGATAAGTATTGGGCATTTTAATTTTTTATACTGAAAAATTGAGTAATTGATGTAGTTGAAAATACAATCTAATTATTATATTGATTAATATGATGATGTGAATAAAAAAACTTAAGTGTTCAATCACATGGTTCCTAATAAACTATGATACATATTTGTGAGTATACAGCATTTTGTCATATCTTTGATTTCTCCTTAAATATATTACTCTCTGAGGAAAGTACTTGATTTTTTTTTTGCCTTGCTTTAACCCCATAGATGGTTATATTTGGTTTCAAATTTTACATAGAAGTAACATCTCTTTACTAATTTTTAAAGGATTTATTCTATATTATTTGATGCTGCTAGAAATTTGAAATTTTTAATCTTTTGCTACGTGCTAGAATCACATAGAATTCTAGCTGAAGTCCTTAGAAGAAGATTTATGTAAGGAAATTGTAGCCATGTCATGTAAAATTAGAGGTCAATGAATAAAAACATCAAACCAAATTTTTTTCTTATAAGAATTAGATATAAAGAGTTTAGCATTTATTGAAAGTCTAAAGTGTCACTATTTATGATGTATATTTATACATTGATGTTGCTTAGCTGCTTATGTTTACTCTGTGGCATAGATACTCATTTTCTAGGTAATAGAAGTAAGCACTTTCTAGGTAATAGAAAAGCACTCCTACAAAGGTAGCCTTACTGATCAGGTATATTGGTTGCAAAGCTCAAAAAATTAAGTATGACTATATCTTTCATTTAAAATAACTATCTATGCTTGGCCAAAAAAATAGATATCTACTGGCCTTTTCCCACACTTAATTTTAAAATGAATTATTTTAAATAGAAGCGAGATGTGAGAATGCAGTTTTCTAAGTTTGTATCGGATTTGTCATATAAACATTTGCAAAAGGGCAATTAACAACAACAGTAAATCAGTAGAGATCATGACATTTTGGAAAATTTTATTTTTAACTTACAACCTTACCTATGAAAGCAACTACTAGACTACTAAATATTCATTTTCTCTTCACCTTTTGGGAATTTGTGATTTCTATTAAATATGAAAGATTTTGACATTTTTCAAATATGTGTGTAATACTTGTGTATATAATAGCATTTAATGATTATGGCCTAGTTATACAATTATAAAATTCATTGAAAGCTTAAAAATTAGGTTTTACTATATTATATTTTTGATATATAATATTTGCTCAGTGTGTTCAGTTAATAGTTTTTCACGGTTACCTGAGAAAATGATCACTCTTTACATTACTCTCGAAAGTACTGTCTTCTGAATTTTTGTTTTGTTTCTTTCCAGAAGGTGGGTGCGGCTGCTGTTTGGACGAGAGTTCCCCCTGCAGGACCTTCTGGTGGTCTGGGATGCCTTGTTTGCAGACGGCCTCAGCCTGGGTTTAGTAGATTATATCTTCATAGCCATGTTACTCTACATCCGAGATGCTTGTAAGTGTTAATGACCTTGCCTACATTTGACTAGATACTCCTGATTTTTAAAAATGTTTTGCCTTTTAAACAGACTTGGTATTTTATTATTTGATTTACATGTACCTCAATTTTTATAGTTGGGTAATATATTGAAATTTCAAAGGAATATACTAAACATCCCTTTTGTTGGTTAACTGTGTACACATTGGGAGATGTGAGTTATTTTATCCTGAGAGAATTAGAATATTCTTCAGAACCATTTTTCTAAAGACTTTACTCCTGCTTTAATCTCCTCATTACACACAGTTGTGAAATGCATCTATAAAAGCCAGTATTTGAGATATGTTTAGAGCTCCACCTTCTGACAGGTAGGGAATATTCAAGGATGTTTATCAGGAGATTGGAGTTATTTTTATAATATCAACACTTTGCTAATAAAAAAACAAATATTGCATTTAAAGGTATTTTAACTTTCTTCCAGTTATATTTTAGAAAAATATATTTCTCAATATAGTGCTGAATGGTAGACGTGTACCCATCTCCTCAGATCTATGTTAGGGTGCCTGTAATAGCCAGAAAGCCAGTGCCTAGCCCTTTTCAATAGTCTCATAGTCCTTAGCTTGAAGAAAATATCGGTGTGTATTTTAAATTTCAAAATACCTCAAATTGTTTTCTGTCTCAGAGAAGTAATGAAAAGTTCACACAATAAAACTTCTTAGCCAAAATACAATTAGGAAAAAGTGCACAAAATTATGTGATTGAATTAGGAAATAGGAAGCTAACATAAAGTAAGACTTTGTCTGAGGAACATACACTTTTTAGAATCATTTATAATTGAGACTGTTAAATTGTTATGTGGTTCTCTTTATTTGTTCATTGAATACCAGTTGTGGCAGATGCCCTTGTTATGCCTCTAGTAACACTAATTTTCTTTAAAATTTTAGATTATACATTTTTTAATTTCCCAAAATTACTTAAATAAGTGACAGGGGTACCACGTTTTATCCAAAAATTATAGATTTTGTTCTGTGCCTCGAAGGTCAAATAGTTTAGGTTTTGACAGACAAAGTGAAAGTTTCTTCCTTCTGAGCCAGATCTAATCACTTAAGAATATGGAAGTCATAAGAGGAAGCATAAGGAAAATGGAGAAAAATATGTGAGTAGATTTAATGGATACTGGATTTTATGATATTCAATACTGACCTCTGAGTTGTATTTTTAAATATAAATAAAAATAAAAGGAATGAGAAAACTCTTCTAGAAAAAAAAAATGCTTTGGATAATATTTATGCAAAACTTTCCAAAGCAAACAACTGCTGAAAAGTATTATGATTTTCTGTAACTGTAAACAGTTTACAATTTGCTGTTTTTTGACTTTGGCACATTACCAGTATATATTTTTAATTTAATCATCCTGTCTCCTATTCTAAGACCTACTTTTATCATTGTATAAAACATGGCAAATTTTTTGGCAGCTGAAGTCCTTACACATTTTTCATCTTTTCACTGATGACTTTATAAAATGTGAAAAAATACAGAAGTAATGAAGTGATTTATTTATTTCAATATTAACCCAACTTATTTTAATTTTGTTATTTAAGTCTGTAACAGTGGATGAGATCTCCTAAAAATAGAATGAATATTTGTCAGGTATTTACAGATCACTTCTCCTGTTCTCAAGAAGTTTACCAACTATTAGGGAAGACTGACATAAATGTTTTCAAATGAACATATTTGGTACTATAGTTGGGATGTGGATAGGTAGTGTAGGAGAGACACCTAACTCCCCTCTGGGCTGCCATGAGTGAATAGAGAAAATTGTGCAGATGTTGGCAAGCCAAATAAGAGGATCTGCATACAACGCAGAAGGAACAGCGTGAACAAAGGCCTGGAAGTGAAAAGCAGCTTATTGAGGATGTGTATATCAATGTGTTTCTACAAGCTGTTTGGTATTATTAGAGTACAAAGAGAGAGAGAGAGACTAGCCGCAAGTTATGAGACTAAAGAAAGAAACAGAAGGGTCATGATGACAGTCTTTCTATGGTAAGTGATAGGGAGCTATTGAAATGTCCAAAGCAGAAATGTGATCACTTGTAGGTCACTTTAGTGGCAATGGGGAAGATGAAGTCGAAGGAGACAAGAGCAAAGGCATCAGATAACAGTTATGACGGTAGTTCGGGAGAAAAACAGTGGATCAGAGAATTATTCAGAGCTAAAGTTAGCATGATTTAGTGATTAAATATGATAGGAGAGGGAGAATGGAAAATCTAGAAGAGTCTCCAGCTTGGAGGTATGAGTGACTGGGTGATATTTATTAACTTGGACAGAAAATACAAGGATTAAGAAGTTTTAGGAATGTTAATAATTAACTGGGCTTTGACTTTGCTGAGTTTTGAGATATTATAAGAAATTATAACCTAAAGATTTGAAAAATAAAGTTAAATGTCAATATCAAGGCTACAGATTTAATTTTGCAAATGATTAACAGGTGTTTGTTAAAACCATAACCACAGATGCAGAATAGGGTGACTATATATCAGAGTTTGTTTGGGATAGTCTTGGTTTACACCTGCTATCCCATAATAGTAATTATTTGTCCTTTTTCACTCTCAAAGACATTACATTAGGATCATAAAAATTATATGGTCCTATTACCTAAGGTGGGTACATATGGAAAGAGAACATGGGCAAAGGTGAAACTGGGTTTAACATCAGCATTTCAGAGGCACCAGAGGAGAAAAAGCCAAGGAAGAGCTTAACTTGTGTTGTAACCCCAGAGAACTGTCTGGAGCCAGGCAGAGAGAAGAAGGTCAGTAGTGCCCAGAACAGTAACACAAGGTTAGAAAAGTCTACTCACTTTGGGAACTGTGGAGGGACAGTCATTGGATACCTTTGCCAGGGTGAATTCAATGGACTGGTTGAGCAGAAGCTGGATTATGGTGGGTTGCAGAGTGAATAGACAGTTAAGAAATACAGTAGTCTTTTCTTCAGCTTTTTGTTATTGGGGTTTTTTTTTGTTTGTTTGTTTGTTTGTTTTTAATATATGCATTACTTTTTCAACTGAAAAGATAACTAAATAAAAACAAGGAATATGGAGATAGCAGGTATAGAGTGATCTTTGAGTAAGGAAGAAGAACGATGTAGCTAGAGGACAGTGCAGGGGCAAGGAAGATTAGATGGCTGTCATTAGACATTGGAGGCGGGGCAGAACTAATGGAGAGGTTTACTTCTCAAACCAGTCTGAGTTCCTACTTCAAAAATCAGCACAGTTTTCCCCACCCTGTTCCATGAATGAGATCTCTGAAAAAGCCAGGCATGGTGGCTCGAAACTGTAATCCCAGCACTTGGGAGGACAGGTCAGGAGAATCGCTTGAGCCTAGGAGTTTGAGACCAGTCTGGGACACGTGGTGAAACCCCATCTCTACAAAAAATAAAATTTGACTGGGTGTAGTGGCTTGTGCCTATAGTCCCAGCTACTCAGGCTGAGGTAGGAGAATCATTTCAGTCCAGGAGGTCAAGGCTGCAGTAAGCCATGATTGCGCCACTGCACTCCAGAGCGTGGGTGACAGAGCAAGACCCTGTCTAAACAACAAAAAAAGAGAGATCTATGAAAAGAGAAAATATCTTCTTTGTTTTGAAGCGTTCGCTTGTTTATTGTCTGTTCTTCACACCCCACCCCTAATCCCTATTCCCCAGTGAGAGACAGGGTTTTGTCTGTCTTGGTTTCCCTCCCACATACTAGCATCTAGAATTGGGCCCAGGGCATAGTAAACCTCCAGAAAAATATTTTTTGAGTGAAATAATTGAGGAAATAAGGGTCCAGAGGCAGTAGAAGAGAACTGGGTCTGGAGTCCTATGAAAGACTGGCTGTGGAATAGGAATGAAAAGCTGGTGCTGATGCAGGAAGAAAGCACTAGGCTGCTTTCACAAGTAATCCAGTTCATAGGTGGAGAAGACAGAAAATGGAGGAATTCCATATCTGATAAAGGAGGAAACAAGGTTATCCACTGTGAGTGAGGCAGAGTAAGGTTAGTGGTTTGTGGGAAATGACTTGGAGCTGTGATAAAGATAGCTGATTAAGAGCCAAGAAAAGCCATGTGTAGCTGTTGAAGATCCTACAGAGAGAAACACTGGGAAGTGGTACCAGGCCTCAAAAAAAAAAAAAAAAAAGAGGTAGATTGTGATCCAGGCTTCCAAATGAATTAGGCAAGACTAAAGGGAGACAGGAGGGTAGAGGGTGCTGAGTTTATTTGAAAATAGTGGTTTAAGATGTATAAAGAGGGAAGCACAGCCAGGAAAAGATTAGGGAAAATTGAATGTATCAAGGAATTGGGTAAGGTAAAGCATGAGAGAGCTAAATGCATACAAAGTTGTGGTCAGACATAAAGCAATTCTAGATCTGCTTGGTATAGTTGAAGTGCGTGAAGGGGAGTTTAAGTCACTTAAAGACCAAGGGATTGTGAGGAAACTGGGGTTTTTGTTTAGTTCTCCATGGACACTTCACCAAGGATCCTAATAGGAAAAGGCGTAGAAAGAAATGTAATGAGCCTGCACCATAGCCTGAAATAAATGAAAAAGAGTGACCAAGAAAACAGCTTTTATTGAACCAGTCAATTATTCAGAGTCAACCATTCAACCAGTATTTACCAGTATATGGTACATAGATGACAGTGATGAAGGGACATGATAAGGCATAGAGGCATGGCATGAACTTCAAAGGAAGAGGGAGTTTTATGAAATGATAGGAAGCAATAGTTTGGAAGCTGAATCAAGGAGCAAGGTAGTCTTCCACCTCACATCTGGAGGTTGCAGAGGGAGCAGTGACTCTGGGAAGGTGAGGCTTAGAGGAAAAGACATTGTTCCCTAGAGAAAAGGATTGAGATAGAGGGGAGCAGCAGAAAGAAAAGGAATAGAGAACCGAATTGGACAGAGTTGCATAGGAGGTCAGTACTAGTTAGATGAGCTGATATTTTTGGCCATGGTCAAGAACTGAGAGGAAGGTGGACAACTTGCCAACC